TTAAATTATCAAATCTGTAAAATTGCTGAAAAAATTAGATACTAAACTCAAATTAAATTAACTCCCTTAAACAGGCTTTCGATTTACAGAGTTATAGGGTAGAAGATATAGTTATCAAATTACTATAAAAGAAATACCCTAACTCTTATGGTTACGCTATAATTATTTGTGTGTTAAATTAACTCCTTAATAGGGTTTCGATTTTGCAGAAAATTTCACTTAACACTCACCACCCCCTATAGTACAATAACTTGAGTTTCTCATAGTACACCCCATAAAGATGAATTACACTGGCTCACAATTTTTATAATTTTATCTCGAGTAGAATAATTAAATAACTTTATAATGCATAATTTCTGATAATTATATTCGTATTTTATAAAATAATAAATTCGGAAACTCTTTACCGATTTTTCTAAAATAATTTGTTCCCCAAAGGGTTAAAAGGAGATCGAATGGAAATTATTTTTGGAGGTTCATCTAGTAGGAAATTTAAATAATCTTGTACTCAATTTGGATATTGGAATTCGGTGTTACGCGATGGATGGCTTACCTCGAAACAATAAAAGCAGATTTACCGGGGTGATTTCCGGACGATTCCCATTTGATAGGATCAACTGTGCGATACTCCTGTATTTCTACGCTCGAACGCCCACGGCATTATTCCAGAAAATAACCCCCTAATGCAGCGCCCCTTTGCTTCGTAAATACGCCTGCGTTTGCTCGTGTGTACACCTATATGTATGCGAATATTCACGTTGGTAGTGAGGATCGAAATCGGAGCTGAAATCGCCTGTGATTTCCCCGATCGTCCAATTGCCTGTTGCCTTAACTATTTTCCTCCACTTATGGTTGTTATTTCTTTGGTTTCAGAGGATAGTCTAAATTTCGAGAATATTATTATAATTACAATTATTAATTCTTGTTCTATTTTTATCATTTTTAATACTGGTTACTTTTATCGTGGAAAGGCTTGAATAAATTATTTCTTTGGTGTCAGAGGATAGCCTAAATTTCGAGAATGTTATTATAATTATAATTATTAATTCCTGTTCCATTTTTATCATTTTTAATACTGGTTACTCTTTATCGTGGAAAGGCTTGAATAAATTATTTCTTTGTTTTTTGAGAATAAATTAAATTTCGAGAATATTATTATAATTACAATTATTAATTCCTGTTCCATTTTTAATATTGGTTACTCTTTATCGTGGAAAGGCTTGAATAAATTATTTCTTTGGTTTTAGAGAATAAATTAAATTTCGAGACTATCGTCAATTATTTGATATAATTTTATTTATTTTATTATTAATTCCTGCTTCATTTTCGTCCTTTCTATTTTTGGTTGCCAGAGATAATGGTCCTTTTGAGATTTTAGTAGCCTAATGTCCATCAATGTACTCCTTTTCGTCAAAAATGATGCATTTTTGGAATAATATTCGTCCAGAGAATAATACAACATCATTATTGAATTACTATCTAATTTTTCAGTTTTAACTTGCTATATTTTATTATAAATATTTCCATTTTCATAACTGGTTATTTTTCATTGTAAAAATGTTTGAACGAAATATTTAAATATTGGCATAATTATTTAAATATTGGCACAGGTGTAGTAATATATAGAAGATATGTTATACTATTTTCATTTGCATTTTTAGTTGCATTTACTATAAAAATATTTATTCGAAGTTTATTGGTGGTACGAAGAGAGGAATTGATTTGGTAAATCAGTAGGTTCGAGGATGACGTTAATAACAGTGCTCTTCCTGCAAAGATGACTCGTGCATTTAGCCGTTCCTTTTTCCAGGATTTCAGCACTCCGTTCACGGAAAACCCTTTAGAAAGTGGCACCTATATATTCTGCCGGTTTTCAATTCAGTCTCTTTTAGTCTGCCTCCAACAATGAGCGAATAGGTTCACGGTCGTCCCGAATGGAAAGTGTTTCGTCACGTTTTCATGGAACATTAATCAACCGAGCTATTTCAGAACTCGGAATGACCGGTAAACAGTCTCCGACACGTGTCATTCTTATCGTCTTAAATCAACGATAATGAGGAAGACAATATTCTTCCATTTTAGCGACAAATCACTTTATTATACGTGTATACATTACATAATGCTTCTGAGAAAAATAGGAAATAATTATCTTCTCGTGAAAATAAAAAGTTAACGAGCCTCTTATGCAAAGAATGGAAGAATGAAATCAAATTTGGGACGAAAAATAATTCACAAAAAAAGGGATTAAAACGAATTAAAATGAAAAATAATAATTAACAAGAAATAATAAAATATTTATTTATTGAGTAAGAAATAAAATTCTATCTTTTTGGGGCTTAAATACCCAAGTCGAAGATAGGAGATCTCTAAATGCCTCGTTTTCTGGAGAAAAATTAAAATTCCATCTCTTCGGAGATCAAAATATCTAAATCGAAGGTAAAAGATTTCGAAATTTCTCGCTTTCTACGGTAAAATACAAAATACTATATTTTCGTTGATTAAAGTACCTAAATCAAAGGTAGAAGATTCTTAAATCTCTCCCATCTTGGAATAAGAAAAGAAAGAAGAAGAATTCCATTTATTCGTGAATACAAATACTTAAATCCAAAATAGGGGATTTCCAAATGTCACATCTTCTGAAATAAAAATAAAAATTCCGTTTCTTGGAAGATTAAAATACCTAAATCGAAGGTAAAAGATTTCGAAATTCCTTGCTTTCTACAATAAAAAATAAAATACTATATTTCCTAGTTATTTTATTAACAAACTTAAACAAAATTTAAAAATTTTTCATTTTAACAAAGAAATAATAAAATATTCATTTATTTGGTAAGAAATAAAATTCTATCTCTTTGGAAATTATCTCACAAATATCTCCCACCCTGGAATAAGAAAAGAAAGAAGAAAAATTCCATTTATTCGTGAACACAAATACTTAAATCGAAGATAGGGGATTTCCAAATATCTCGCATCCTGAAATAAAAATAAACGAATAACAAAATTCCATCTTTCTATAAATTAAAATACCTAAATCGGAGATAAAATATTTTTAAATATCTTCCATCCTAGAATAATAAAAGAAGGAAGAAAAATTCCATTTATTCGTGAATTCGATTACCCAACTCGAAGACAGAGGATTTCCAAATGCCAGGAATATTTCACTGATAGGAAACGAACGAAGACGTAATTTAGGTTCGACGGAAATTACGTTTAATCGGTAAACAGCTTTTTACAATCGGAGATCGCAGTAAGATTTCCATTCCCGGGAAAGGAAAGGAAAAATCCGCGATTTCGCTCGTCGCTCGCGGGTTTTCCCCGTGCGTGATTCACGCGCTCGCCGCGCGGGCGCGTTCCAAAATGGAGGTGGAAGCCGCCGTTAAAAATTAACCTAACTCTTTACAAATATTTACAATGCAAACGGAAAGTTCGTGGTCGCGCGTGTGTTCGACGCATACGAATATGAAACGCCGGTCGACGACTCGGATGCTCGCGAGGAATTCCGAGAGAATTCTCCCGTGATTCATCCTCCTTGCTGTACATGACGCACTGTGCTCGGCCATCGCTTTCCCTCCGCAATTCCGGCACGTGACATTTGCATTCGCTCAACCCTGCCCTTCCACCTTTCAAACGCTCCAAAAACGGTTAAAAATTCTAGCTGCTTCACATCTGTGATAAAAACTGGAGAATATCCGGTGAGAATCGTCGGCTGGAAGGGTTAGGTTAGGTTAGGTTGCACGTCAGAGGGATAATTCGCGATAAAATCCGCGTACCGATCGAAATGCTGAGAAATCACGAATAATTTAGATGTTTTCACACTGAGACTACCAATTTCTAACGCTAGATAGGGTATCTGATATTAATTAAGATAATTAGACAGATATACGATTAATTTGCAGTCTCACAATCTTACTCGCACAATTTTATTTCTGAAGAAAAACAAATTAAAGTCTGTAATCTTCTTCTGGATTGATCTTAATCTCCTTAGATTGATCGATAAGAATAAAATTAAACACGATACTGCAGATTATCAAGGACCCCATAATTGTACCCACAGAGATGCTCAAGTTTGCAGAGGCTCAAAAGTAAAAGATCTGGAACCAATCTGGTAGCCCTAGTGTTGAATTATTCTAAAGTAACTAGGCACAAATTTCTGGGCCTAAATTTATGAATCAATTTTCGTGAATTGAGATGTCAATTTATAAAATGGAATAGAGTTAAAAAGTGCCTATTAATCGTGATTTCAACGCTGATATGTTAATCGGAGCTTCCGTGTGCGACGCCATCTTGTTTCCCCTATACTTCAACTGAAAAAGCGTCGTCTTGTCATCGATGGGTGTAGAAGGGAAAATGTATAACGCGTAAAATTCGTTGCACGGCCTGTTGAATGCGATTTTACAGGAACAAACGTAAAGTCTCGCTGAGGGATTCCCCTCTCCTCCTCTAGATCTCGATCATGCTAAATCTTAATCGATCGGGTAATTTCCTTTACGCTTGTTGCTGTAACGAGGTACCATTCATCTAACGATATAATCCTTACACCTAAACGATATATCTTCGTCAACAAGGAAAGAAGGGGAAGTACATGTACATATATATATAGGATCGAATAAAAATCTCTGAAATCGGCAATAGTAATTACAAGACTCGCGACAAGACTATACCTAATATCGAACGCAACGTGATCGACGATAATTGTCAATGTGGAATAAAAAAGAGCAACGAAGACCTAGCGAATGTGTGAAAACGAACACGTCTCTTAACTGCTACACGGTGATTCTTATTATCGTTAATTGTACATAGAAATTCGGCGTTGTTACGTGGATCGTGGTACTTGCAATGGCTCTCGAAGATAGTCTCAAAGAAAATCTGAACATGGAACTACTCCATGAGATACATCGAGATCCTCCAGAGACTCCGATCTAACCGGAGGATCCAGACTCGGATCCAAACGGATCGTGTCGCTTAAACCTAATGATCCTAATCGTTGATCGTGCTCGTCGATTGACTGTGACGTGATCGTGATGTCGATCGATTATAAAACTCGTCGTCCTGGTAGGAGGAACCTGGTGAAGATTTCGAGGAATCCCGAGAAGCGCGAGGCTTTGAAATCTAGAGGGGTCTCGTCAGAAGTGTCAAATCCATCAAGATTCTCTTCATATCTCAAGAATATTCGATCGAACCCAAGAAGCACTTGGAACCATTGTAAACACATATCAATTCGCGACTCTCTCAGACCCCGGACCCCTCGATCACACCCCAAAGGACCTGGACATCTCGCGAACGCCTGCAAAACCGTCGTTCAGGTTCCTCCCAGAAGACCTCTGATGGCTGGTTCCTTCTGTCAGCTTCCGGCTGGCTCGAGGTAGACCCGGGAGCAATCCCAGATCGAAGGGGAGTCAAGTGGTTTCGCTGGTCACCTTCTCGGAGCCTCAGTAGGCCCTCAGTCTGACTTCCATCTCGGGATCCTGTCGATGAGTTAGGTGGGGTTCGATGGCTCCGGTGGTTCCGGTGCCTGCTCCGGTCACGTGGTGGCCGTGATGACCGTGGTGATGGTGATGGTGGTGGTGATGGTGGTTCAAGTGCGGTGGCTGGGTCGCTCCGCTCCTGTACGCCCTCTGCTTCTCGTCGAAGTCGCGTACCCGTTGATTGTAACGCTCCAGCTGGTCCCGCAGGAGAGCATCCTCTTCTGCTGCGCGTTTCTCATCGTATTCCAAGCAGCCCACACCGTCTAGCCTCTCCAGGTCGATCCACCCGCGCCAAAGTACGCACACTCCGTTCATTATCAGTCGGGACCTCAGGTGAACCTGTAAGCAGAACGGATAGTCTGGTGATGCTGGTGTCCTAACAGATCTAGAACTGGGATAGATAGGATAGGAATCGGCTACTGTGCACAGCAAGAGTATTCTCGTGTATATGACACTTGGGAGCATGAACACGGAACTTTAACGCTAAAGCTAGGCCTAGGCTAGCTTTAGTACCTGTCTTTTCGATCTTTGTTTAGTCTCGAGTATTTCTATATTAATTTCTACTAATTCGTCATCTCCGTTATGAGATACTGTACGATTAGATTTGATAGCTAGAAATTACTGGTTATTAATAATAAAAATTCGCGAATGGTCTTATCGCGCGATGCCTAGTTAGACTATGGGTCCTCCAGCTGTGCACAGTGTTTGCTCAGTATTATGTCAAGCTGTTAGGTTTGCCGTAAGGCAGGAAGCAGTGAAGGAATTTCTATTCTACGAATCCTCGCATCGTGGATTACGCTTCATCGAACGATCATCCTCGCAGACTTCCGATCGTGTCGGATCAAACGTTCGAGTTCACGGGAGATGATCGTAATTAAACTACCATAACCTCCGATGTAATCTCTGTCTGAACAAGAAACTCGTATCTACGACACGCTTCCAGCGTTGCGTTCGTCCCTCCAGACGTAATCTCTGCTCCTTTTCCATTCCCCGAGAAGCTGGTGCCCCGGACGCGTGGTGGAAGGGGTCCATTAGGCCCCGTCCGATCCGCCTTCGACTTTCAATCATGTTTTTCTCCCCCTCCCCGCTCCGACAGCGTTTCTTATTTCCAGAGAACGATTACGCAGATTGGAAGGTACAAGCTTCGAGGAGAGATGAAATTGCGAGGTCGACGATGGCCTGCTCCAGCGCAGCCGTGACGAGGACAACGAGGAAATCGAGCCTTCCCCGTCAATTATAATTTCTCGTCAACTTTCTCGCAGATGAAAATGTCTTATTCGTGATTCCAATCGTTCGACTATCTTTGCTGGTTACGGATTAATTTTTATTTCAAGTCCCAATCATCCCTATCCGAGTGGGAGAGGCAGAGCTGGCCTGGACGATGTCATAGACGAATCTTAGGGGTCTTTGCGAGTGCAAATTCGCGTTTTTCTTTTGAATCGTATTGGTTCCTGTTTTGGAGAGTTAAAGACATGTCTAGAGTGCCTCCCCAATTACGAGTTTACCTTTTTTATTTTGAAATCCGCGAACTTATGCTTGACAGAATTAAATAAGGTGTATCACAGGTAAAGTTAGAGGTTTGCTTGACAGGAAATTCATTCTCTATTCTTTGGGATCGTTTTGACATCTATTTTGGAGATTAAAAACGTGTCTTAGGGGTTCCTTAGAGATTCAACATCTACCTTTTTCAGGTGAAACGTATTAATTTTCGTTTGAGGGGGCTGAAGATGCACCAGGTGTCATGAATTGATTTTCTTTTTCTTTTGGATCCACTGGTTTCTGGCAGACTGATGTCACAGGCGAATCTTAAGCATCCTATTTATGGAGTTGGATGTTGAAAAGAGGGAATATCACAGGGATTATTCTTCAATTTTACTGTGCTGACACCAAGTTGACCACTGGATCATATTGCTGCATGTAAAGGTTGTCACAGGCGAATATTGAGCATTTTATTCGAAGAGTTGGGTGTTCAAAAGAGGGAATATAGCAAGGATAGCGATTGCTCTTGGGTTTTACGGTCTAGACACGACGTTGACCGACGAACGATTTACTGGAAGTAAGAGGGAACGAAAAGGAAGAGAAGGGTCGAGCCGTCGGCCCTTCGAAAAAGTCGAAACGGCCAATTATCTCTGCCCGGCTCAACAGGGTTATTTTATTTCCTGGCAAATGGTCCCGTTTCCGGTCGCGTTGTAAAATTTCGAAACTGTTACGGGATCCAAGCTGACCGTGAAAAACCGATCGAAGCTTCTTCTATCCTCTCTCCTTTTCTCTCCCTCTTTTTTCCTTCTTCTCGTTCGTTTTTCCAGCGAGGAACTCGGAGACTCCGTTAATCGAGGTCCAAGAACGCGTACGAGCTGTAAATCGAGCGTGACAAATGGTCGAATAGGGCTGAAAACTCGTGGAAAGACGAGACAGGAAGGCGTCGAACGAGAAATCATCGTTACTGTACCTCGTCTCTGATTTTCCTTTTTTCTTTCATCGAAACATACAGCTGGTTGTCGACCAGACGTAACAATGTAGCCGCGCAGCATGATGCTCTTTATGCGATCATAATCGAGCCGCGGGAGACGTCAGCGGGCGGTGGAGGACTCGATCGACTCGATAATCGAATCGTTTGTCGCCTTTTCTGAAAGGCTGCAGGATCCTGGTGGAAAAAACGTAGAAACTCGCGAAAAAATCTCGGGTTACCCCGAATTTCCAGAGGTTAAAACGTTAAGAAATTATGGAAGCATCTAATTCTCAAATGCACGTGGAAGAATTAGGGGGAAACGAAGAAGAAAGGTCTGAAGAGCATAGTTTTTGAGGACAGGAAACTTTAAATAAATGAAACAATTTTTTAATTTCTCAATAAAATTAAAAAATATAAAAGTGACTTAAATAATTTTAGAAATTATTCATTTTATAATAATAAATAAATGAAACAATTTTTTAATTTCTCAATAAAATTAAAAAATATAAAAGTGACTTAAATAATTTTAGAAATTATTCATTTTATAATAATAAATAAATGAAACAATTTTTTAATTTCTCAATAAAATTAAAAAATATAAAAGTGACTTAAATAATTTTAGAAATTATTCATTTTATAATAATAAATAAATGAAACAATTTTTTAATTTCTCAATAAAATTAAAAAATATAAAAGTGACTTAAATAATTTTAGAAATTATTCATTTTATAATAATAAATAAATGAAACAATTTTTTAATTTCTCAATAAAATTAAAAAATATAAAAGTGACTTAAATAATTTTAGAAATTATTCATTTTATAATAATAAATAAATGAAACAATTTTTTAATTTCTCAATAAAATTAAAAAATATAAAAGTGACTTAAATAATTTTAGAAATTATTCATTTTATAATAATAAATAAATGAAACAATTTTTTAATTTCTCAATAAAATTAAAAAATATAAAAGTGACTTAAATAATTTTAGAAATTATTCATTTTATAATAATAAATAAATGAAACAATTTTTTAATTTCTCAATAAAATTAAAAAATATAAAAGTGACTTAAATAATTTTAGAAATTATTCATTTTATAATAATAAATAAATGAAACAATTTTTTAATTTCTCAATAAAATTAAAAAATATAAAAGTGACTTAAATAATTTTAGAAATTATTCATTTTATAATAATAAATAAATGAAACAATTTTTTAATTTCTCAATAAAATTAAAAAATATAAAAGTGACTTAAATAATTTTAGAAATTATTCATTTTATAATAATAAATAAATGAAACAATTTTTTAATTTCTCAATAAAATTAAAAAATATAAAAGTGACTTAAATAATTTTAGAAATTATTCATTTTATAATAATAAATAAATGAAACAATTTTTTAATTTCTCAATAAAATTAAAAAATATAAAAGTGACTTAAATAATTTTAGAAATTATTCATTTTATAATAATAAATAAATGAAACAATTTTTTAATTTCTCAATAAAATTAAAAAATATAAAAGTGACTTAAATAATTTTAGAAATTATTCATTTTATAATAATAAATAAATGAAACAATTTTTTAATTTCTCAATAAAATTAAAAAATATAAAAGTGACTTAAATAATTTTAGAAATTATTCATTTTATAATAATAAATAAATGAAACAATTTTTTAATTTCTCAATAAAATTAAAAAATATAAAAGTGACTTAAATAATTTTAGAAATTATTCATTTTATAATAATAAATAAATGAAACAATTTTTTAATTTCTCAATAAAATTAAAAAATATAAAAGTGACTTAAATAATTTTAGAAATTATTCATTTTATAATAATAAATAAATGAAACAATTTTTTAATTTCTCAATAAAATTAAAAAATATAAAAGTGACTTAAATAATTTTAGAAATTATTCATTTTATAATAATAAATAAATGAAACAATTTTTTAATTTCTCAATAAAATTAAAAAATATAAAAGTGACTTAAATAATTTTAGAAATTATTCATTTTATAATAATAAATAAATGAAACAATTTTTTAATTTCTCAATAAAATTAAAAAATATAAAAGTGACTTAAATAATTTTAGAAATTATTCATTTTATAATAATAAATAAATGAAACAATTTTTTAATTTCTCAATAAAATTAAAAAATATAAAAGTGACTTAAATAATTTTAGAAATTATTCATTTTATAATAATAAATAAATGAAACAATTTTTTAATTTCTCAATAAAATTAAAAAATATAAAAGTGACTTAAATAATTTTAGAAATTATTCATTTTATAATAATAAATAAATGAAACAATTTTTTAATTTCTCAATAAAATTAAAAAATATAAAAGTGACTTAAATAATTTTAGAAATTATTCATTTTATAATAATAAATAAATGAAACAATTTTTTAATTTCTCAATAAAATTAAAAAATATAAAAGTGACTTAAATAATTTTAGAAATTATTCATTTTATAATAATAAATAAATGAAACAATTTTTTAATTTCTCAATAAAATTAAAAAATATAAAAGTGACTTAAATAATTTTAGAAATTATTCATTTTATAATAATAAATAAATGAAACAATTTTTTAATTTCTCAATAAAATTAAAAAATATAAAAGTGACTTAAATAATTTTAGAAATTATTCATTTTATAATAATAAATAAATGAAACAATTTTTTAATTTCTCAATAAAATTAAAAAATATAAAAGTGACTTAAATAATTTTAGAAATTATTCATTTTATAATAATAAATAAATGAAACAATTTTTTAATTTCTCAATAAAATTAAAAAATATAAAAGTGACTTAAATAATTTTAGAAATTATTCATTTTATAATAATAAATAAATGAAACAATTTTTTAATTTCTCAATAAAATT